AAAAAAAAAAAAATATATATATATATATATATAGTACTTTTACATACTTGCTTATTCATAGGGTGTCTATTCAAATATTTGAGAAGAGAAACTTTATATGAAAGTAAAGAACTAAAGTACAATAAAAAAATAAAATATTGTTTAAAAAAAGAGAAAGCAAAGAACTGAGAAATATAGGTCTCAGGTAGGAAAAAAACTTGCCATAATGGTTTACAGTATTTTTAGAGAAATATCTAGTTTGTAAGGTTAATATTTTGGTAGGCTTATTTTTTCATAAAATCATAATTATACATTCCTATTGGTTTTATTGATACTGTTTTTCTGATATTGAAATTAATGCATTAATAGTTCTATACCATTAAGTCCCTTTGAAATAAAAGTTCTTTAGAGGAGGAATAATCAGTGTAGAACTTGTGAATGTGTGTCATTAAATCAATAATATCAAGCCCATAAAAATATGATTTCTGTCCAACTTTGAAGTATTGTTAAAGTGTGAACACCATGGGCTTTGCAGCCAGACACACATGGTTTGGATTCTTCTTCCTGCCCTTTCCTAGCTGAATGATCTTGGGCAAGTTACTGAAATTCTCTGGGCTTCAGTTTTTTCAGCTGTAAAACAGCTGATAATAAAACAGACGTGGCTGGGTGCGGTGGCTCACGTCTGTAATCCTAGCACTTTGGGAGGCCAAGGTGGGTGGATCATGAGGTTAGGAATTCAAGACCTGCCTGGCAAACCTGGTGAAACCGCATCTCTACTAAAAATACAAAAATTAGCCACCTGTAATTCCAGCTACTCAGGAGGCTGAGGCAGGAGAATTGCCTGGAACTCCGGGAGGTGGAGGTTGCAGTGACCCGAGATAGGGCCACTGCACTCCAGTCTGGGCAACAGAGCAAGATGTCATCTCAAAAACAAAACAAAACAAACAACAACAACAACAACAACAAAACAGATGCAATATTACTTATTAACAGCATTGGTAAGGATTTCATTTCTGTAAAAGTATGTGTCTGGAACATAGGCCATGAAAACGTATCCTCCACTGAGATATCTGTATTTGCTTCTTTTGCCACAATATGAAGCCCAGCATTTCTCCTGGTAGCTAAGGAGAACTAGAAAGCTGTGGAATTTATGGCTAAGGAATCTCACCCCTTTTATTTGAAAGATAAGATATATAAAGCTTCTGGACATTTGTGAGTTTTCCAAGGACTTAAAAAATCTAGGTCTCCTGTCCTCTAGTGCAACGTGCATTCCAGGCTGCTTCATCCATTTCCCTTGCTACTTCCATGGAGTAAATAATGTACAGAAATCGACAATTACACTTGAAGAATTGAAACCAAAAAGAATAAGTAATTGAGTGTTACAGTATCTTCAACAGAATTCACTCAGGAAGACATTTTAAAATAGTCACATCTTTTGATCCAGTAGCTTTTATTTTAGTATCTCCCCTATCAAAATAACCAGAGATGCAAACAATCATTTATTTATGAAAATGCTAGGCACCACATTTTTTTAAGTGGTGGGAAATTGTAAACAACAAGGTAGACATTCAAAAATAGAGAAATGGCTAAATAATATGACTCTAAGCCATGAATTTTAATTCAGGTAATACAGATCATCTTTTCAAAAAATATTCAATGACATGATGTTATATGAAGTGAAAAAAGAGTGGGACAAAAGCATGCTATAAAACATTTAGTAAGATGGTGATTTTGTAAAATATTTCATTTTAAATATCCATGGAAAAGGCTGAAAGATGTTTTCCTTTTTATTTTTATAACATATTTTTATTTTTTATATCAAACTGAAAAAGTATTTTCCCAAAAACATGAAAACTGCCCCCTCCATCGATTACCATTATTTTTTTAAATATATATATTTTATTGCACTTTAGGTTCTGGGCTACATGTGCAGGTTATGCAGGATTGTCGCATAGATACATAGATGGCACTGTGGTTTGCTGTCTCCATCCCGTCACCTATATCTG